TGGAAATGAAAATTTGCTTTTTATTCCCCAAATCTGTTCATTAGGCATTTCTGAAAACATCAGTTCTTTTTTGCTCTACTGTTTTGGAGCTCTGATTACTAAACTAGAATTAGAAATTAAGGATTGGAAGGGTGCCTTTGAACTAGGTACTTAATTCTTTCCCTGTCTTAATATAGCATTGTATTTTTATTTCCTTTTGGTTTTGTTTAAAAATGTTGTGTATTATGAAGAGACAATTTGATCGCACTGCTAGGAAAAATGATTTTGTTTCTTTTATGGTGGCAACCCTTTGGTCCCCAAGTTGTGTGTGAATACAGGAAACACAATTTTCATTTGATGGAATTCCCTAGTGCCTTGTTGGATTTTTTGTAGGTGATGAGCAGGGAAAAGATTTTGGCCATGATTGACTCCTGTTCCCTGGTTATTTCCAGCACTAGAGAATTTGGTCTTTTCATTCAGTGTCAAACATGCTGCAGGCCTAACTGGTTTTGATATACTGCTTCATCACCCTTTATCTTTTTCCTCTATGTTTTGTCTCCAGGACCTTTACATATGTTAGTTCTATTCACAAACTATTGATGTTTAAGTAATTTTCTTATTTCCTGTTCAAGGCAATTCTTTTTCTGTCAGCTTTCTTTTTTCTTCTTCCCTTTTTTCTGTTTCCGTCCCCACCACTTGCGTGGACAGGAAAATATTCAGGAAGGATAACAGAAAAGGGAGTGTGAACATCCATGTAGTCATTGTTGTTCTTGTTTCAAAACCAAAGCAATTCATGACAAAATCAAGCTCACATGTCTTGTCACCAGATTGACAATGAATGTTTTAATTACCAAGAGGTTCCAGAAGTGGTGGGGGGCGGGAAAGCCAACTTGAAACAATAAACTTTGTTACCTCTTCCTGCTGGATGTGTCTTCATCATACAAAGCTGTCAATTTGACTTTCCCTCTTGAAAATATCCTCATGAAATTACTTGATAACTAGTGGGGAGTTAAGCTGAAGTAGTATTTAACTACAGTTCATGACTCATTTTGCTAGGCAGACTATCACTAGTGAGAAGTGTGGTGTTTCAGCTCCCTGCATTTTTCACTTACTATCCAGGTCTAACTGCAGTTTTGTTTTTATCTTGCATTCAGAATAAAAGCAGGACATAGAAGAAAGTAGCTGTCACGCTGAGTCCAAACATCATCAAACAAAAGGCTTCTTCATATTTAAAGGTTTCTCTCTGATCTTCAGATCAGCCCTTAAAAAAGCATAACAACAATTAATGCCAGGGGGCTTTCTGCATTACTTTTGATAAGGACACTCTAAAGCAAGAAGAGTTATGGTAGGTGGTGTTGGTGTTGTTTCCTTGTTGAAAACAGTCATATTCACATGTCTTCAAAATGAGAGTAAGTGAATGAAGCGACCATAGCTTGTTAAAAAGATACTGGATATTTTAAAGACGCTTCATGATACTAAATCATAGCAGCATAGCAAGAGCACTCTCTGCCTAGGAGAGGTGCTTTTTGCCTGTTGAAGAACTTTCCAAAGGATGAAGGAATCTTATTATATTCTCAGATATTATTTATAAAATATTTGAGTGCAGTATCAAGCACCAATATTCTGTTAGGGACTGGTGGTTACAGTCTGAAATTTTAACAACTATCAGTATGTGGTATAATTTTAATTGCATGTAAAGTATTCTATTTGGTTTTACACTTGAAAAGCCAAGGACTAATTATTTCCATTTGGATATTATACCCATTTTGGTATTATAGTAACAAGATTTGGCTTTTGCCTCAGGTAAAAAAGAGTTTTATTTACATTTTTAGTGCCTGATGCTTTTACTAATTGCAGTATTTGATGTGCAGGAAGGAGGTTCCCATAGTTTCCACTGAAGCTATCTGTGACAGGACTAAGTGTGAACCCATTCCTAGGAGAAATGCCCATGGTCTGTGTTATCAGTTCATTGTGTGTGCTACTGGCAGTGCTAGTGCAGACTCAGCTATGCCACTCCATGTGTTACCAACGTTGGATCAAAATGCATTCCAGGCTGGTTTTGTGCTTTGCATTTACATACTTCTTATAGGAAGAGCTTGGCAGTGAGCTGCACCTTCCCATCATACACTTGAATCTCCCTGTTGACATACTTTTCTTCTTAACAATTTCTTTACCTGATGTAGAATATCTTTAAATGAGGATACAAAGTTAATGTTAGGAACTAAAGTAGCAAGGAACTTGGTTGTTGCAATTCAGAGTAAAATTTGTTGTCATGAGTCCCAAGTTGTATAAAATGCTGATACATGAGGCTTTAATTAGAAGTGTTTTGTTAAAACATACCTAGAAATGTGAACACAATAGTGAAATGTTTACTGTATTGGGTTCAGAGCTGTTTAGAAGTTGACAGAATCTTTAAAAAATAACACAATTTATAGCTTTATGTTAAGGTTACCCGTTCAGGATATTACATGGAGAGTTGATTAAAGCTGCTGTATCTGAGAACTGCCATACATTTAGGATAAACATCAGAAGCCATAGACCCCTAAAATATAAGCTAGGGCTAGACTAGGACAGGAGCTGACCTATGTGAAGAAAGGACTTCCATTGTGCAACAGATGCAAAAACAGAAACTGGGAAATTCATCCTTGTGGAGGAGAAGGACGAGAATACTTGAGTGCCACAGATGAAAGAAAGAGCAGACAGAGCCAGTATGGCAGAGGGAGGATGGGCAGGAAATGAAAACAATATGAAAGGTAGGAGGGAGCCCTTCAGCACTGGCTAGAGAAAAGCAACACACTGCACTGAGCATCTGCTGTTTTCCTACTGTGTTCAGGGGAACAGGACATATATATATTTGAAAATAGCTTTGCATCAAAGAAATATATGTCTCTGTCATCAACTTCTCCATGTAAAAGGGAAAAGAATATTTAAGACACTGAATGTTTGCTACTGCTCTGATCAAAACACACCATTATTTATCTCTCTTTGCCTGTACCAAGGAACATGTGAGGCTGTTGAAGCCACCTGCTGAGTGCCTTATGGAAAATTTTACAAGGTATTTAAGCTCCTGAAGGTGTAGAGGCACCTAATGGAGTTTTTAAAAACAGCCAGGATTCTAATGCTCTTCACAGACAATGACAATTAGCTTCCCAGGTGTTTTAGAGAGATCCTATTAGAGGTCCCCTAGGTCTTTCAGTACTGTGGAAATCTTGTGGCTGGTCTCTAGTGCTGACAGATATATCAGCCTGTTCTCTCTATTGCTTGTTCATTCCAGGTGAGAAGAGAAACAGGCAATGTATTTGTGAAAAAATCAGAGGGCTTTAAGTGGAACCTTAACTACTGAATGGCTTTCTTAGTTTTTGCAGTTCTCTGGGATCTTAACAGTAAAAATCAAAAATCCCATCCACTCAACTCCAAGAGTGTTGTGATACAGGCTACTTGGGAAAGACATAATGATATACTTGTAAACAGTTTCTCAGTGTACTGAAGCCCTACCATCATTAACACAATCAATGTGGCAGAGTTTGTTTGAAATGTTCATTCAACTTTCTTCTTCTTACTTTCCAAAATTTCCTGTTTTGTGCAGAAGCCTCTTTAAGTTACAAGAGTTGTGTTTGGCTTTTTTATTTTCTGTATGCAGCCACGTCTTTGCTATGAATTAAGACAACTTAGAAATGGAAAATATTTATTCTTAGGATAAGTGCACAGTATTATCCCAAGCAGAATCTGTGGAATGTAGTTCTTAAAATTATTCATATGATTTACCCCAGACATCCTGTAGAAGTAAGTAATACTCAGTATTCAAGACAGAGAAAAATACTGCAGTATGGCCATTGAATGAAGGCTCATCATCTTTTCAGGAATTCTTGAGTGGTGGCTTGCTCATGGAAAGATGTAAGTCCCATCACGCTTACTTTTAATTGGAAGAATGCAGAGTATTTTGTTTTTTCCTAAAATATTTTAATTAAGTCTCCTTTCTGCATAGCTGTGACATCTCAGTAGTTCTGAACAGGAAAAATTGTTGAAGTTATTTTCTGTGTTAATTTCAGTGGCTGCTGTTTGCTATTTTGATTATATTGCCAAATTTTGAAGGTCACCCTGTCCTTAGCAGTCCCATCAGAACAAAGTGCTAATGCTGACTTTTTTCCCAGACAATGCAGAGCTTTAACTAGCACATGAGAGGAGTCCATCAAAACTTTATCCTCCACTGAGTATTATTGCACTTGTAAAGATAATATTAATACACATTTCTAATGCTCTATGGATCATTATCTGGCAGTGGACCAATAATTGGGTATAAAACATTAACAACTAAAAAGGAATACTGATTCCTTTGGGCATACAATTGTTGTTCCTTAGAAATTGCTACCAAAACAGGCCTGAGCTGATTCATAGAGAATTAAGTAGATTTGGTTTTGTAATGTTTTCAGGTTTCTGAATAAATTATGGATGCATCTTGACTGTTAGAAGGAGCCACTGACATTATGAAACGGTAATGAACAGATCTGCAAGAGAAAAACAGCCTCAGCTGATCATCCTGTTCAAAACCTATTAAGGGCTGATGAAATGAGAAGGTTTTTTCCTTCCATGTATAGATGTGCAACAAGTCATAAGTTGTGGACTTTAATAATATATTTTCTTCACAAGCAATAACACAGCAATTAGGAAGTGCTCACTGAGGTAGAAATAATGGTAACTGCTGCACAGATTAGCATTGCTAAAGGGAGCTCAGACATACAGTAAAACAACTTATTCCAGGTTCCTGTTGGTGTGTAATTTCTACTTTATTTACTTATCATCTCGGTTAAAGAGGACTCCTGGCAGTAATGAGGCTACATAAATGCACATATAATACTGTAAGATGTTACAAATGATATAAGAGATAAATCTAATGATTACCAATTATAATGACAGTGCAATCACTGGGTAAATTGTACAATTCTGAGAACTCCATGACTGCCAAAAATGCCACTACGCAGTGTATTATTTCTGAGATTTTATTTCTCCATGACTGTTTTGTAGGAGATCTATAACTCAATTGGAAGGGAGCTGCTAAACACAATGGCTCACAAATCTTCATCTAGGGCAGCAATACTTACAAGTACTGTGGTAAGTATGAAGATAGCAATCCTGAAAACTTTGAGGGATTTTCTTGCTGGAAATTCACAGTATTTGTTACCACTGTGGTAAAAAAGATAACATGACTGCCAAAATGAATCTCTTATACTGTAACTGCCTTAAAAATAAGCATGCAAAAATTGCCACATACTGCAAGTTCTGTCAAAGACGGTAAGTTCAAGTCCATCAGTGCTAACTCAGGGAAATGGATATTCATATCTCTGAACCCCAGCAGAATTTTAATCTTTAAAATCTGCAAGGTCTCTGATGCCTCAGATGTAGAGCATTAAAAAAATTGTCAAACAGAGTTTAGTCATAGATTAAGCATAGAACATTGAGAATATGTGCTTACAGTAAAACATTTGTAAAATAGCAAATGTTAATTAAAATAAATTATGATTAAAAAGTACTTCAGATGTGTCAATTCTTTTTTCTTTTTATGCTGGATGATAGTGCCTGAATCCTACCCTCTCTTCCTGTGAATGCATTTATAGGATTATAGGCAACATAGGAAGTCTGTTACTGAGTGCTATGGAGATATTAGAGACATTCTGTGCCGAGTAAGTTATGGTATTTGTGTAAGTGGAACACATGAAAGAGAGCCAAAACTAAGATCTAATAAACAAGTGACTAAAGCTGTTAAATGTTCTCTGTAACAGCTGAGCACTTCATATTTAAAATCTAAGTGCTTACTAATTTAAGAAACTAAATATGAATTTACTAACTGTAACCATGTTGTATTGTGAAATATTGGCCTTAAAGAAGGCACAGTGATTTGTGGTGGTGGTTGTTATTATTTCTGTTGTTATTATTTAAGAGACACCAAAGAGGACACTAATTGGAAGATGGTAGTAAGGTGTAAACTAGAAGTGAGTGTAGATTCCATGGAGTTTTTTGAGTAAACCCTTGAAATGAGTGGCAGAGAGGGTGGATGTGATGTGTTCAAGCTTTCTGCTTTATGTAATAACTGTGCAGTGCTTGAAACCAGAGCGGGAATGGAAGGGTGCCAGCAGGGTAGCAGTCTTCTAGTCTATGAGAGGATATGAATGGGGAAGATTAGACATTTGACTTTTATGATTGGTAGTTTACGCACTTGATGGAAAAGGAAAGGAATGGAAGCTATGAGAAATGATAGCAACTAGCCTCTTGGAGCTAAAGAAGGAGATAAATGTACTCTTTTTATTAAGGGAAAGTGTTCACATCTCCTTATTTGTCTCTCCTTATCCAGTTCTGGAAGGTCTAGACTGGGTTCTAGCTTTTTTCCTTCTCTGTGAATACTTTTGCAATGAAGGACACAAAAGTAACATCTTTCTTGCAGATCTCTTGCTATAACTCTAGTCTCTTAAAAGAGAAATTTCTGGAAAATGAAGGCAGCAAGGTTCACAAGAACAATTGTTAAATAATAAGCAATTGAGTAAAATGTCTGAATTTTGTCGGATAAAGGTGTCTATATTCAATTACTGAATTAAGAAATTAATATATATATTGTTAAAGGGTACAACCCAAAGTGAGTGAACTGTTTTAGGTGCTGTATTTGCTTGTTTGGCAGAAATGGCACACTCCTGCTTTCATTTTACCAATCCCAGTACTTTGAAACTCACTTCAAACTGGTCAAAAATCATCAAGGGAAACACAGACAGGTTATATAGCTGCATCAGCCTGTTTTCCTTGGGAGCCTCTATTTCTATTTGCATGACACAGACGTGCATACATTTTTTACTGAAATGCCCATTTCAAAGGTTCTTTCCATGGCCCAGGATTTAATTACTGCTGTAAAAAATGCAGGAACCCCATCTAACCAGTCACTTTTGTAGTATCTTAAGTGTCTCTATAAGTTTATATCAATGTCAAGAACAGTGAGCCAATTTTTATATGACAGACAGAAACTCTTCTAGCAACTCTTGGTGATTGAAAATGTCTTAAACTAATAGGCATGGAAGACTCCCTCGTTGCTTCCCTGCAGTGACAGTCATGTGATTGCCAGTTTCTGTCTGAAGCAAAGAAGATGCTGCCCTCACTTCCACACCAAGTTTTGTCTGGTTTGTGAGGTATAAACTGATTCCCCTTCATGTGTATATATCTGGTGGTGTGGAACTATACTATCAAGAAATGTATGTTTTCAATAAGGTGTGACAACTTATCAGTACTTTAAGCTATAGATTACACCGGTGTACTGTGCCTGACTCCATCTCCCTGTGCTAAATCATGTCAGAATCTGAAATTCACTGTTCCATAAAATAGAATAGAGGAAGCCAAAATATATGGGCACACAGGTATGTGCATCTATATAACAAAAATTTATAAGTAATTTGGAGACTGTTAACAATCTCATCCAAATCCCCTGGGAATAAGTCTTTTTGTCTGGTTAGAGTTCCAAGGGAAATGGCAGGAACCCAGTCACTTGTGCCATTTACAGCCAGACCAGACAAAGCACCTCCCCATTTTAGAGCAGGAGGTGCTCCTGCTCTAGCAATATTATTAATGACCATTAAGACTTCTGCATCTATAAGATAAATTTTGCTCAACACAGATATGCCTCAGTTTGTAAGATCACTATTCACTTTCTAATGTCCCTTATTATTTTTTGAATCAATGCCATAAGATGCTAGAGGCAATAAATGCATTAGGATAAGTAGTCCTTTTTTAAAAGTTTAGGAATTAGAAATAACTCACATTGTATAAATCATATGGCATAATTATTGCATTTAAATGTTACATTACACTTATGTTTACATTAATTCTTAATAGATCTGATTTTTTTCCTTCTGAAAACATAATTGGAAACTGTATTTTCCCTCTTATTCTAATTAAAATATTTTAATAAATGTTTATTTAGATACTATGTCATGGAAGGTTGCAGCCTTGGCTGCCTAATGTAATGTAAAAATCAATTAGATACAGAAAAATATCTGAGTTTAATTTACAAAGACTAGATATCTGCCTGATCACTGCTGTGTAGCAATATCCATAACATTTTATATGTTAAAATAGTAATGATTAGTATTAATCTTGGACATGCTGAAGTATTTACCTATTCATATATTCAAAGGTAATTTGTTTCTTTGACTACAGCTTTTGAGTTGCCATATTGTATAATTTCTTTACCAAAATGTCTTCTACAGTGGTTTGAAAGCAATTTCTAACATGCATCATATACTCGAGGTTTATTTGTCTCATGCAGAGATCAGCATGCAAACATTGCTGCATATGTAATTCTTGGAACTAATTGCATGCATGTAAAACAGTGCAAAGATTTTAACATTGTACAGCAATTAATATCTCTGCTAGTGTAAGTATGTTTCCTTCTCCCCATCCTCTCTTCCTCCAGGCCCCCCCAACCATAAATCATTTCCAACCTGTCAGAATGGATCTGTGCTGGCAAGGAAACAAGGGTAATGTTTCAATTTTCTCCATCTGGTAAGATATTTTCTGTTAGTTTTTCTCCTTCTCTGTACTCATTGAATTTGCATGAAGAACTATGTATTGTAGACTAATAAGATTTCCTGAAATAGAGTGGAGAAAGCATGACCCGTCTCCCACTAGATCCGAGGTTGTGTGAGATAGAGTAAATTGTCATGTTAATGTTACTGAGAAGCTGAGGGCCAGACTGGCTTCCTGCACCTCTGGTACAAAGGGAGGGATGCTGGCATGCTGGGAGAGGGACTGGGATTGTGACTGCAGGCCTGTGAGTCACTGTATTCTAAGCACATCATTCCATTTTTCTCAGTTTACAAAATCAATTAAAAATTCCTTCTAAGAAAGTGTTTCTCTGTTTTCCTAAATATCAGTCATTCCAGTCTTTAGCATCTATACTCCTTTTGAGGATTAAATTGCAAGCTTGATGGGTTACATAAACTTCATTTATTTTAGGTATATTGTTAATTACTTAAAAAAAATCATTTTATATGGAAAAATCAATATCCTCTCAGAGTACCCGATCCTATGTTGATAGACTTTGTGAACAGTTCTCTGTATTGCTGGGGGATTCTCCATTACATACTGGCTCACAGATCAGGTACAATTTTGTCATAACCATTAAAAATAAAAACTAATTTTTACTTGCACAGAGAGAAAATTTTGGGTATTTTTGAAGGACCACATCCTGTACTTGTAGGATCCATAGACAAAAATAAATACCTGAAGGCATAAAATTGTAAATGCTTTTTGAATAGTTCAAGGTCCAGACCTTGAACCATAGCAATCCTTGGGAGAGTGGTACAGCAAGGCATGGGTAGCAAAGGTGGACTTGGCAATGAAGCTGTGATTAGTGCTACTACACCAACTCCAGGCAAAACCGCTTTCCTAGCAATCTGATTCATGTCCAAAGTGGAAGAATTCCTCCCTCTTCTTGCCCTTGTTCTGTACTGTGTAGCACACAGCATTTATCTGAGGAATTAGCCAATTTGCTGCACTTCTCAATCCAAGTATTCAATATTGAGTTGAAATTAAGAAACTATATTAAAATTATTTTGTGATTAAACACCCCACTTATCTTTCATTTATTTTTAGTTTACCTTTGGTTGTTTTATCTGTCTTGGGTATATTCAGTTAATATTTTCAAGTTTTACTTCATGTTTGAGAAATCTAGACACTTGTTTTCATGGAAGCTCAGATTCACATTTATTCATATGATTTCAACAGCTAGGACATTAAGAAAAATAGCAAATATCACAAGATTCATAGGAAAATAATGAGAGTTGGCAACACTATCAATTTCCTCTGAGCATACTTCCATTATAGTTAGGGCATTGGACATACTTACTTGTTATTGCAAGGCTTCCTCTATGTGGAAAGAGCAGAGAGCCTTGATCTGAAAGAGAATAAAACCCAAGCAGAAGCAGATGTAAATTCTCTGTGAAAGAGCAGAGAGACAGTGTGCATGTGCATGCATGCCTCTGTCTCCACGAATACTCAGCACTGAGCACTGAGAACAAAATGCTGTTTGACTTAACAAGTAGGGAGAGTACTCAAATGTAGAGGCACAAAAACGTCCATGCAATTTCACAGCTAAATACACTACAATTATAATCTAATGCAATAACAATTTTAAGGGTCATTTCATAGTAAGAGATAAGATATCTTCTGAGTAGTAGAAAGCTCCCACCCAGCCATCATCTAAACAATAGTTGCAGTTCCCCGGGAGGGGAAACATTTGGACAAAATTGCTGATGCAGAGACAAAATACCTTTTCAAGTGTTTTCTTGATGTACCTGAAGTTCTCAGAAGAACTCGAATATCCCCATACATACCTGGGGACTCAAATTTAACATCCCTATCAAAAGAAAGTTAACCCTTCCTTATCTGTGGGTTTGATTTCTAAATATTTTCTTTTTTTAAGGTTAGTTATTGCTGTTGGGTTTTGTTTAGTCTTTTAGCTGCTCCACGTGTCTGGAAGAAAACTATATGTGTCCCGAGACATAGAGTTGTAGAATTATTGATAAATAAAGGCTAAATTTACTTTTTAATTAAGTCTAGGTATATGAAAAATAGTGCTCTATGCTTGAAACATAAAGACTTTGGGTAAGATCCTACTAAAGACAAAAGTAACAGGAACGTTCCTTTTATCCTGTAACTTCAGTCTCAGCTTTTTTCCTTTTTATGTGTTCCCAAAGTCTGTCTAAGTCTTATTTGTGATGATGTTCATTTCAGCACCTTGTTTTGCTCTGTGGTCCAGCAGTGACTGGGAGCACTTCAGAGACAGCACACTTTCAGGTGTCACATTACAGCATCTCCTCTGGCTGATAAAAGAGAAGTATTAACAAGCTCCAAAAAAGCCTCATATCCAGTACTTTCACCGCTGCAATGCTATTCATTAACATGTTAGTAAGCATCAATAGATGCCTCCAAAAGAGACCAAAAGCAGCCAAAATAGAGCTGCTTCTTCCAAGCGTGAGCAGTGGTATAGAAATACTAGATTTGAAAGGAGAGCTCCATTCTGTTTCATGGGTCTTTCAAAACAACAATATAAGTCATCGTTATTAAATCAAAAAGACACCCTCTGTGCCTGCCAGCCTTTATGTCTGCCAATCAGATTTCTGGAGTGCTGTGCTTTCTCTAATAAAGCTAAAATGTGTTAGAAAGGCTTGAGGAAGGCAGAAAGAAGGAGAAAAAAATTATTGAACTGATCAAAATATTAGCCAGGAATTGTTAAAAAATGTTTGGGAAGCATTTCACCAAATTTTCAAAATGATATGTTCCAAGTTCTGCTGGGCTATAGCTCTCATTTTCTGTTTATCCAAAGTACATATATATATATATATTTTAATTCAATATTCCATCTTCCACACAGAATGTTCACTGACTTCTCACAAGGAAAAATAAAATAGAAAGAGAGGAGTTGAGAAAAATTATGTAAAACAATGTGTGTGCATGTCAGTAAAAGGGGAAATGTGATGAAAATCAAGTCTGTTTAAAACATTAAGGAATCATAAGCAAGTCATTGCATTATTTTTAAAAAAGTGTCTTCCAGAGTAATAGAAAGCACAAGTTTGCTTATCAGGAGTGTAACTACTTGCATTTCTAAATGCATGATGACAGTGAAAGTAACTGAGATTTACAGGGCAGCTGTATATGTGTAGTGCAATAGATATTGCTGTTTGCTCAGGTAAAGCATTGAAATAGCCAGCCACCTGAGGTGCTGGTTCATCTGTGGTGCTTGTAATGTAGGTAAGTCCTAACACTGTTCATTTCAGATGGGGTTTTGTTAGATGTTTCACACCATAGAAGCCAATAAGACTGAAACACATTAGCTTGATCATATCACAAAAATCACAGAATTTTCTGAGCTGGAAGGGACCCAGAAGGATCATCAAGTCTAACTCTGTCTAACTTATACAGGGATCAAACCTTGGCATTATTAGCGCCGTGTTCTAACCAGCTGAGCTAATCTCAGTTGTATACTGGGTTTGGACTTAGTAGTGTTTGACTGATGCATTTATGAAGGCAAGATCCCAAATTCTTGCTTTTTTTAGAAAGTTATTTAGATTTCAAGATTGCAATTGAGGTAAGTACTTACTAAATGTTATCATTCCTAGCCAGTTTTATTCTTCATCTACTGTGCAATGAGATTAAATTCCCAGGCAGATGTACAAACCCAAACCCGAAACACTGGCATGCCTGGGAGGGAGTGATGGCTGAATGTTACAGTCAGGACTATTCAAAGTACATTGGTTTCTGAATGCTGCACAAATGCAGAAGTACAGCTGACAAGTTCAGGGTCAAATTATGCTCTCAGCTGTTCTGTCACTGCCAAAAGGGGAAGTTGCTTTTACCTTCCCAGGCTTCCTTCAAATTCTGACGTCCTGTCCCCTCCTGCCACGGGTAAAACTTGCTAAGTGTGATTCTGTGGGTGGATCATTTCCTCTCCACTTTGTTTGCTGGGTCAGTTTTCCCCTGTTTCACCTCACTGAAAGAGCCCAGGTGGAGGAAAGAGCCTAGGAGGACCCAGAGTCAGGAGTGTGTGGTGAGGAGCGCACAGTTGTGAGCAGATGGCAGAGTTGAGCTTTTCCTTTTCCAACAGCAGTAACCAGTGGGATCAGCTCATTGTCTTGTATGTAGCTTCACCCAAAGCAGCAGATTCACTTTTGACAATGTTCAGTTGTCGTGGCTTTGTTTTAACATGCTCATAACTGATGCAGATATAATTACTTTTCCCAACAGAGATTAGCACATTGGAGATTGATGGATGATCTAATGAAGGGGGATAGTAAAGTAACTTTGTGTTATCTGTGATCATGAATGAGAATGCTCTTTTTTTTTTTTTTTTTCCACAGGAATTTTTTTGAGCAAGCTGATTTGTGAAAGCTTTTAATTGTTTTTCACTTTTATGAGTGATAATGATCAACCAAATAACAACCTGCTCAAAAAGAGATGCTTTATTAAAAAACACCTGAAAGCTAGTGCCTAAAGTAAATGGTAAATTTCATTTTGAGAAAATGCCATATCTGGGCCACTAGAACTTGGTCTCATGCACTGTTATCTAGATAATTCACTGGACAAATTCCTCATTTAACATATTTCAGCTTGAAGTACTCAGTACTCAGACTGGACCGTGGACCTCTCTAAATTGTTTTCTAATACAAAAGCCAATGGAAGGAATTCTATTAAAGGAACAGTTATAAGAAAATACCAGAAAACCACAATAGATCTAATTATACTCTGAAACAGCAGGTTTTTTATAGTTTTGTTTTGTGCCTTAAACTTTGTTATCACATCTTGGAATTATGTTCAGAATATTTTAAATTTAATTTATTCAGTCAAAAATCAAGACTGTTGTTTATTGGGTGGATCATGTTCATATGTTCATATTTGCTGAAGAATTAATTAGCACTGAGGTCTAATTATTGTTTTTTATCCATGCAGTGAGATGTTTCATACATTGCCTTCTGACCACTGCCCAGCTGCAAAT